CAGGAACACGTGGACAACGTAGTTGCCTCCGAGTTCAGCCTTTTCGGCCTTGATGTTGACAAGCCATTCGAGGTACTTGTTGTCGGTACCGATCAAGCTCTTCAGATCACGACCCTCTGGAAGACTGAATACGTCTAGCTCATTGGCCTCTTGGAGTGGCTTTTGATCATCTTGTTCCGCAGCCAGCGAGAAGGTTGAGGCGGAGACTGGAGAGTTCTCGGCCTTCAAATGTGCCTTGGCACGACTCTTGAACTCCTCGGTGGAGGATTTGAAGTCTTCATCGCCACTTCCCAAAATGTTGGCAAATGAGGCGGTCTTTCCATACACACGATCCAGCTCGTTGAGGATGGACTCCTTAGTGGGAAACTTCCAGGACTGAGTCTCCGGGTAGACGTAGCCAAACTCAGTGGTGTATCTGACACCCTCGGACGTCCAGAAGACTTGATTGTCCTTCGTACCCAACTGGGCAAATGGAGCCAGCGGGGTTTTGATCGTCTCCGGGTCACCGGCTTTGACGATGAAGTTACCCCAACTCTCGCCCGCACGTTGGTCAGTCACATAGGTCGATGGATCGTTGGGGTTGTCGTGGCAAGCTTGCCAGATAGCGAACAGCCGGTCGACGTTGGTGTGATGGAGCCAGAAAATGGGGTCAAACGCGGCAATTGCTGGGTTGCCCATGTGCCCACTGCCTCCAGAGTAGGTGTGGATGGCATTATGAATATCTTCAATACTCCCCCATTCGGCAAAGTTGGGCTGACCTGGTTGCTTCGGAGGGTTGAATCGATTGTGGGACGCAGATCCAAAGTCACGATACGACTGAAGGATGAAGATGACACGCTCCGTCAGGTTCTTCCCTCTTGAAGCCTGTTGAGGGTCTGTTCCAGAAAAAAACTGTGTCAGTCTCTGAATCATCCTGTTGTTGTTGGGCTGGTCAGGGTAGCGAATGGTGCCTCCGACCCTCGGGAACTAAGAGCGCCGATCAGCATTACGCATACATAGCGATGGTCTAAAGATAAAAGTACCTGATTGATGCTCGTATTCGTGCGCGACTCTCGGAATTTGTAGGTTGCCAGTGGGTTTGGGTCGATACGAGAATCCTTCTGGTTATTATGGGGACGCTTGACTTGGACCCTAGCTTGGGATGTAGCCTCTGCTGGGAAGACTCCAAGGTCAGGTCGAGCCCAGTCCCAGTATGGCATTCTGAAGTCTTTGGCCGCCTTCACATAGTCGCTTCGACGCTCATTCTCATCAAAGTCGTTGGCAACAGCGTTGACGTGCTTGTACAGCTCGGCCTGAGCCACGTTAGAAAGGGTCACTTTGACGGTGGGTGTTAGAGCTTACCTCGAATAGAGCGAGATATGGACGGTGCCAAGTAAGAAAGAGGATCGAGCTATGAGTGCAGAATCCGCCGAAATCATTGTCGACTCTGACCATCTTGTTGTTCCAGTCCCTGTCTGGCCATTTCTTGTACGGAAGCCCATGAATACCTGCTAAAGTCAGAACCTTACAATCCTCATTCCATACATTTTAGCCTCCAGTGCATTAATCTGATCGGACGGGAATGTCACAGTGTATAAACAACGATATGGGTGCCATTAAGAGCGGAATTCTGTAGCTCATCTGGCCAAAAAGCAAAAGATGACTCCTCGTCGGAGTCAGGGAATACTTGTTAAGTGACAAGCAGATATCCTCGCCGCCAGACTATTGGGGGGTTGATGCATGTTGACGCAAATTAAAAACTTGTACTTGCCTGCAATCTCGAAGAAGGAGAGAGGCGCGCTCTCCGGTACCGAGTTTTGGAATCTCTCCAAGCCCAAGAGATACAAATTCCACTGATCAGGATGGTCCTTGATCATGTCGCGCACTTCCATGCGCACGGGAGGTTTGGCTTTGGGACGTCAGCTATGAATGACAGAGGCGGATTATACCAATTGTCATGAAAACATACCTGGATTGTCTGCCTTGATGCCGTGGACAAGCACGGGTCCTTGAGTTCCATCTGAAGACATCTTGAGAGTGAGTGAGTCTGATGATTGGTGATTTAGGTATGAAATTGTCACAGATAACCCCGGAGTGGATGGCTAGTAGACACCAAAAACATGGATTATATATGTATAGCTGTTACTCCGGAAAAATCATGCATGTTTCTATGTACACAATATTGCGACACCTTTGCCAAGTTTCAGGCAGAACTGTTGCCTGTAAAATATCCTTCAGATTCGTAATGGTGGCGCATATCAACATAAGATATCTCTTCTTCGGGAAAGAAGCCGGAATGACAGAGTAAGCACGGGGCTCTCAGCCAGCCATGGCGTCTCAGCTGCTTTCGGTCTTGCGGCAATGGCCCAATGATAGATTTACTGGAATACTCACCGAGATTACGGGCAGATACGATAGGCTGCTTTCTAAAACATTGGAAAAAGTATGTTTCTTAGCCTGCAGCTTACCTCGGGATCAATTTTGGTGATGGACTGTTTGTCAAGTTGTTCCTGCTGATGTCTAGGCCAAGACTTATCAGCTTTGGGGGTGTAAGCAAAGGCTGCATATGGAAAGAGCAGGTGAGATGTCATCATCGGTGGCTTGAAACTTGAATTGACAGGAATCAAAACATGACTTCGGCGATACCCCAGTTAATGTCCTCGTCACGCCAAAATTGAGGAACACGGTCATTCAGAAATGGATTTTGCGATCAAGCATGAGATATTCTCAATGATGTTCTTGAATTTCGATTCTCTACTCGCATATTCGTAAACTTGTGTTGCGGAGTCATAACTCAGGACTTGATCGGCTCAAGTTTGCTAACATAGGCACATGCACATGCATTGACAGGTTTCACTCATATAATACAAAGACGAATTTATTCAAAATTGAGAGTAACCTCATGAAACTAAGTAGATAGAAAGCTTCTGATCCTATAAATCAGGCGAATGAAGGAAGAAAAAGACAATGCAGTCGCGACATCAAGAGAAAGAGCGAGTAGGTGAGTTCGGTTATTTTCCAATGCAGCTGCCGGCATTGGGATCGGAACTATAAGACACTTGTTAAAGAGAGATCCTCTGGGGTCACTGTGAAGATTGGGAGTCGAGGACGAACTTACATGTATTGCCAATTCCAATAGGATGTTTTACCTCCCCTGTAGCAACCATAGGCCTCCTTCGACAGCCCAGACATGCACTCGGCTTGTCCTAAAAGTCGTTTGCCGGTGTTCAAGTTCTATGATCGTATTGTTAGAACACCTCGATTGAAATAAGAAGCACAAAGCAAGATCCACTATGCAAGACATCGCTGCGTATCCAAGTACCTTAATGGTAAAGTCCCACTTCAAGCCGTCCGCCTCCTGCATGCAGTATGTTCGACTCTCCTCGCCAACGAAAGACTCTTTGGCTGCACCGGCTATAGCCATGCAGGCAAGAGAAAGACGGTCCGCGTTCAAGGCTAAAACCTTCTGCTTGAGCCATGTGCCATAGTGGCCGATCATGCCATTGGGAAAACAGTCGGCATTGACACCGGAGCTGGCAATCGCCATAGCGGCAAGGAAAGCAGTGGGCTTCATATTGATGAAAGTGAAGTTATTGAATCAAGAATGAGGGGGTTTTCTCAATGAGATGAGTGGATGAGAGACACATTTACAAAGAGAGGTGACATAGGTCAAGAACTTATATAGATACGAGTGCTCACTACGTGTACTCGGACTGATTCGAGATAAGTTACTCCTGGGGTAGTGCTATTCCAGCTATTCTTAGTTTCGGTGGGATGACTGCGCCATCCGAGAGCGACCATCCCAAGCACCAGACTAACTAGAACGTGCAGACGTTTGTCGCCTCGATCTCATGGTGCGTGCGGAGTTGGCCAATGCTGATATCTGAAGTATGTTGTCGCATCCAAAGCAGAATATTTCTTCTGCTGCCTGATGTTCAATCAATCATGAAGCAAGACCAAGGAGATATCCTTGACGCTGGACCTCTCCTGGCTCCAAACATCTTTGCTATGATGATTGCCGATCTGGTGATAAGCTGGATTGACAAACACATGATTTCGAAGCCCACAGCAAACCAACCTCACCTAAATGAAGGCATAGTCTTGACTAAGCAAACAGCCAAGTGTTGAATTTTCTTTGTTCACATGTTTCATGGCTTACACGAACGAAACTGTCGTTCTGCCAGTGTTGTCTGCGAAATTTCCTCTCGACTGTTTCCCTCAGCTGCGTGATAGATTGCATTCCTGATTGTTTAGCACGATACCTAGTAAAGTTATATTTGCTCTTCACTACCTCCGGCTCATCTCGGCATACATATCGCGAGATCGTAGGCCAGTTTGCACGCTCAAGCCAGCGCGTGGCTTGAGAGATTGAGGGTTACTTCTTCGATTGCAAACTGTTTAAAGTAAACCTACCCGCCGTGCCACAAACTATTCCGGGACCAGGTCTTCGTTTTGATCCCTTCACTCGGAACTTCACTGGAAGATGAAGTTTGTGTCACTACATGTGTAACATGTCAATCTTAGAGGCAAGAAAATGAGATAACACATCAACACCAGTATTTCCTGGATGCTTTCAACCTAAGACAACATAATGCATAAATGGGCAAACAACGCTGTTTGGGTGTTGACTCCATATCTCATGGCCATCGTGTGTCGTCCGGAGATGCTGTTTTCAGGTGTGTCAAATCCTGGAACGGGAAGAGAATCCGATTTTCGAGTCCAAAATAACTAGGTATTCAAGAATAGGCGTGCGAGGGCGCAGAACTGGAGACTGAACACACAAACTGGAAACTTGAGGAACCGGTGTCCCTTCGGTCTTACCTCAGCCAGCGGAAGCTTACCGACTGAAGCATCTCTTTCTAGGATGAGTTTATCGGAGCTACGACATCAGACGTGAAAACTCAACTATATAATAACCCCAGTTCCCACGAACCTTGAGGTAGTGGCACAACAGAACTGCAGCATCATCTACCTCTTTACCAACATTACCTGTATCACCCGATCTCTTCAGAGAGTACAACATGCAGTTCTTCAAGATCTTCATTTGCAATGTCTTGTGCCTCTCCCTGGCACTAGCGGGCGTCATTGTCGACGGTAGTACCCGGAGTATCACCAGTGATACCGAGGACCAGGAACTCAAGAGAACCGTCCCTGAGCCAGCCATTACCATCACAGACAGCGACGAAATGCTGATGCTCAACTCAATGAACGCTGGAAGGGCTACTTTCGAAAGATTGCTTGTCGAAACCGAAGAAAGGCAAGATGGCATCTCAAACTCGCGACGTGATGTTGAATCACGGTAAGTAAACCAAGTGACTAAGAGAGGCTGTCAATAGCTCTAGTCGAACCTTGTTTGCGAAGTAAAAATACTGACTCGCTCTTTTCCTTGGGCTCACTAGAACGACGGACGTCGAGATCCGTGAACTTGCCCTCAATCTCACCGAAAGGGCAGATCTTGTAGCCATAAGTGACTCATTTGCCTGCTGCGTGAGTAACTCCATTCTCTTGGCGTGTCAAAGGCGCCACATCAGCTATGACACTTCTCATTGTAATCTGCTCGCCTCTGTTCTCGACAGAAGCTTTCCATGAATCATGACATGATGTTGCCTCTGACTAACACCGCAACTAATAGGTCACCTGCGTGTGGGCGTGTAAAGTCGCCATCGAGAGCATGCGCCTTACCCAAGCAAAACAGTTCCACAAGTGAGCCGAGTTCAACACATATCTACCTAGGATCACATATGAGAATATAGAGCTGACGTAGTTTTAGATGTTTCTGGTTGGAATGTTTTGCTGGATCACAGGCCTGTGCGAACCATCTGATGGATTGGGCCAAGTATGTTGGTGGCGGTATAGATGATTTCCCAACCGCCGCGCAGTTCGCACAGGCTTGGAAACAGGTTTGGCGTCCAATGTACGAGCCACTCAACCAGAAGGCGATTGAAGAAAAATAGTACTTCGCACCAGTCGCATTCTCAACAGGGCGTCAGTTTGCCTATGTGAGCTCTGTAATGTCGCGATGCAGAGAACTGTTGAAGTGGCTCTTGCGGTAGTTGATGTCGCGGTGCGATAAGTAATAGGATTTGGCAGCACGGAGATCGTCAGCTTTCGGTGGTTTCATTCATACGAGATTCGGATTTGTTATAGTTTCGGCTCTTTGAGAAGAGTAATTAGTAGCAATTGATGCCAGTCTCAACTTGGCATATCTACCGAACTAGAGGGCCGCGATGGCAGTTGCTTCACCTTGGATGTTAGATGATAGGTAACATACTTTGCTATATAGATGATTTCATCAGTAAATCAAGCTATATCTTTACATTGCATCAAGTTGCATGACTTAGAGTAATGGTACGATACGGAGGCTCAAATCAAGATCCAAGACGGACTGGTTGTTTCTAGTATCAGACTTTCGAAGCCGCCTAAGGCTGCGAAAGAAATAGGACTTTTATTGCCATTCAGATCTTTGCTCGTTCATCTACTATACAAACAGTGAGCCCGTAGAAGTACCTTACGTCCACGTAGTCCCGCGTGGTGAAGTCAAATAACCCATGGATCGACGGTGGCGCAGTCCACGATCGAAAACACCAACGCTGTTGGGGCGAATCATATGGGCCGCCAAGTTGTGAGATCCGGGAGAAAAGGTCTTCGCAATAAGCACATACTGTCTCCAGCGGGCCGGAACTTTCAATAAGTTCTCTTATCTTAGCACAACGTTCAGCTTACTGCCGCCAGTTCAAGAACATTGCCAGAACCCCACAGAGTTGTGCCTTGATTGCGGATCTAACGAGGCGAGGAGCTGGCCTCAACCAGGATATTAGGGTTGGCTGCTAGATCCCCAGGCGAGGAGCGATTACAATTATCTGCTAGAAATACGCCGTAGACAAGGGACTGATGCTCCCGAGACTGTCGACGTGCTCAAATCGGCGCCCCAGTCGTCGATGTCGTCAGCTGCCGCCGGGAGCGGACCAGCGGGTGGGCGGTAGGCGCACATGCGCGAGTCGCCAGCTGAGACTGTTGATGACGACGCTCGTCTTCTTCGCCGCGAGAGGAGAGAAACGTTGTGCTGACCTTTGGAATGCTCACTGCCCCGCGGGACCGCCGGTATCATGGTCGAGTTGACATTGTCAAAAAGGATTTGGTGTAAGCCTATCATCAAGGTTATTCCCTTATGCTGACGTGCCGATAAGCTTGACTTCTGAAGGGGGCGTTTCTAGGCTCATAGGAATGCAGGTTCACGGTTAGGGGCGATAAAAAACAAGGGCGTCGATCGGGTATAATATTGCTTGCTGGGCGACAGGACACTACCCAAGGGGACCAAGGGAAACATCGGTAGACAGCAATTGGCGTCAAGGGCGGGACTGAAGAAAGTGAGGGAAATGTCTCGGGGTTTGTAAAGAATGGCGATGGACCACATGCGCGACTTTGTCGTGCGACGCGCACTTATACCGGGTTGTGGGCGGTAATCGTGAGCAATACTCATAAGGTGACGAAGCCTCGTTCGGTTGACCCATGTCGTTGCGTAATCACAGACATTGGGTATAGATTCCGTGAAGTTCATTGCCCTGGGCTGGTGAATCGTCACGCTTGCGTTTGTCGCAAGGGATGAACAGGACGTGGTGGACTCCGACTATTGCTATCACCACCATTACACTGGACCCCTGGCCGAAGCCACGCGAGAATAACAACCGCAGTTGTGTGGAGTCTATCCGCTGCTGTGGGATATACGTGTTTCGAAACATTTTCTGGGGAATGCTGGGAATATGTGTGGGTAACCTCGAAACAGAGTTCGGATGAGGAGAAAAGATCGACACTGACAGCGACCCATTTGCGCGGCGTCATGGAATAATGTGCCCCGTCCGGCGAGGGGCATCCGAGGGGAACGGGTATCACGCAATCTGCGGCTCGATTAACGTTCGAGGAGTCAAGACTTGCGGCTCACATTCGCATAGAACCTGTGCAGATCCTATTGACCTGGGAACTGGACCAAAAGAAATTGATGAAGAAAGAAGTAATGCATAAGGCTAGGGATAAGCAATAAATGATCAGTTGCCCTGTCCTTCCAAGACTCAATTGTGTAAAACATGGCTCGCGAATAAGTAAGTGAGGCGGGTCAGAGACATGTCGTTCGGGACTGATGAATATCTCTTGTCATTACGGCTGTTTTGTCTCATTCAATGAGCGCCCCATCTCAAGCATCGGCAGCTGTCGAATTCGATAACACATCAATGCTCATCCATCAGCGATCGTGGAGTCATCAGGCAGTGTCTCGCGAAGTAACGACGAATTAGTCTTAATTATTACACATGAATGTGAATATCATAACAGTGACAGACGAATGCCAGTCAGAGCTGGTCGTCATGTCTCCCATCAAACTGGTCATAAACATTTTCCCTTCGTAATAAATCGCTCCAAACCACCAGGCCCTTCAAGTGTCGTCCGCTTTCCAAGGCTCATACGTGCCGCAGGCGAAAGTGCGATCAAGGCTACAAGCAGGGTCCCGAAGAGATCGAATGAATGAGTGATCAAGTCCATTAAATTCGTAATCGAGGAGATCTCTGCGAGATCCGAAGGAGACGGCGGCGGTGACCGTGCGTTCCTATACAAGCTCGACTGGGGCCTCCTCCCACAGCCTCGTGCCTTTTCCCTTCCTCAACACTGAGCCTCGAGAAACAGATGAATGGCCTTTCTCATCCCCTCAAACTTTCCATCTCCACGTCGAACGAGACGTTTACAAGTCTGTCACAAGTTAGCATCTTGAAAACTTTGACTAGTTGGAGTATATGGCAAGAACTCACCCTCGCAGTAGTCGACAGTGGTGGTGACAGTGACGGTAGGCTTGGGCGCAGTGGTGGTGACAGCGGTGATGCCCCAGCAAGAGCAAGCGGAGGAGTAGGCAGCAGAGTCACCGCAGGAGGAGGCGTAGGCGGGGATGAGGGTGGGGAGAGCGGTGACCTGGCGGTTGGCGATCTCGCCGTTGCGGCGGAGACGAGCGGGAGCGGCAGTGACGGTAACAGTGACGGTGCTGGATGAAGAGAGTCAGTCTATAAGGAATCACCAAGGTATTATACTGATGGAGAGGTCGACATACGTAGGGGAGGGGGTGACGGTGGCCTGCATGAAGGAAGAGCAGTCGGCCTGGCGGGAGGTGATGGGGAGGAGGCCGTCACGGGTACCGGTGACCTGACGGTTGCAGTTGTTGCCGGCACAGGCGCGCTTCTCGACGACGGAACCGAGAGCCAAGCTGACGAGGGAGAAGATGACGGCGGCCTTCATTTTGACGGTTGGAGGAGACGATCGACTGAGGTCCTAAGAGATGGATGGGAGTTGATTGGATGGATCTGGTAGGAAGTCGGTGGATGAGGAAAGGGGAAAGGAGGGAGGCAAAGGGAACGGTTACATGGAGACGAAGGCACCGTGATATATATCCGTGAGATGCGGGATGGGACCTCGAGTGGTGTTGGGACTTAGTGGTGGACTGGTTCGAATTGGACTGGGGGAACCGGGTCCCTTGGGCCTCGCAGACGGGGACTAACAGAACTGGGACGCAGATGCGAGCAAGTTTGGTACAAAGTACAGCAAACAGCTAGCCAGCCGGCTGGTTCAATACGAACCGCAGCAGCAGCCACAAGAATAGCGGAGTTCACCCGCCCATTCTGAGCAGCGCCCAGAAGAGGCGGCGATAGGAAGGGCGGGTCATCGACCGGGACCTGGGATGAACCGACAGGGGTGGGAGTGTGGTTATTCCAAGAGCCACGGGCAGCAAGCATCGTGGGTTTACCAAAGAGACATATTGGAGAGCTAGGCTCCCCCGGTACAGTGACACCCTGTTCCTGAGCACTAGACAGGACCAGGGGTCGAAAGAGGGGGAGCCTGTAGGGAAACATGGAAAAGCGAGGAAGAAGCGAACCGCAGTAGCTCCAGCCCGTTCAGCCCATCTCCTGGAGAAGGTTGCAATTCCCACCTATCAACAGGCTGGACATCCGCATGAGGCAGGTTGGGAGAAAGTGTGGGCAGGCGGCGAACAGCAGGAACATGAAAAGATGCGCATCGTAGGTGAAGCGTGCGAAGTAGCGCAGTGTATCCGCAGCAAAGGTTGGCCCATGAGGATGGGGCCGAGACTGGGAGGAAAGGTACCTCTTAGCTGACGAGCAAGGCCGAGAGTGACATTTGATTTCAAGGGCACGAAGGGCTAGTATTCCGATGAGAAACAAAACGCGTGTGTTCTTCCGCCCTCGTGGGAACCTCGAGATTGATTTTCCAACGCCCCCTTGCCCACGCTATTACGGCGGGGGAAGCTGGTCTGATTCGGCCTAGCCCTAGTATTGACGTCGGGAATTCCTGGAGAGCCTATGAATGATGCCCGGGGGCGACGCCGGTTGCTTCGCCGAGAGACAAAGGGCGAGGATCACATTCTGGTTTGACTTCGCGGCCGGATACAAGGGAGGTTATCTGGAGGGTCATGTTGGGCAAACGGCTCGACTCTCATGAACGCTATCGAAATCTGCACAACGCGCGGCTTGGCTGGTGGGCTTCCGTGACCGGCTTGCAATTGGTAATGACGGCACAGCGAGAGTCAGCTTGTGGCTGTTGTCTCTGCTATTCTGGCGTCGTAAAAGAATTCAAGGCGTCCTCAGCTATGTCGTAGATTTGGGGCGGCAGCGGGCGGCGGAAGCACAAGGGGCGGAGGCGATTGGCAGGGAGACGCCGAGGTGTGACGGTACGGATACCTAGACCACCCGTTCAGGCGCGAGTTTGACTTTGCTGTACGGCTACAAAGCACTATGGCTGCAGGCAAACAACACAAGAGAAGTCCGACCAGTCATCGAGCTGTTTCTTGCTTCGAACTTCTCAGTCTGCCAGTGCTTGGGGGGCTGACCAGACTACTGGGATTACAGAAGCAACGCGTTGTTGGAAGCATTTTGGATCATCCGTCAATAGCTTATCCTAGCAACGTATTGATAAGTGAACTGTTGGATGGTAAGGCCGGAGAAGAAGCATAGATCTGGACTGCTGTGCCTCAATTTATCACCGTCTCGGAACTGGCTCGAGTCTGTACAGGAAGAGTAGACTTGAACGGCTGTCGGCAGGGTGCAGCGTCACAGCCTCCGGCAGGGTGTGTATTCGTACAGCGCGGGGAAATCCGATATGCAGAAGGGAAATGAGGAGAAGCAAAGCAAAGAGACGGTAAGTTTAGGTATGCAGGCAAGGTCATGGGAGTTACATGGGCTCTATAAGTTGATTGTTGATGACGGGACGGGGAGCGAAAGCAAAGTCAAGAGCGAAGAAAAGTGCAGCGAGAAAGGAAAAAGGAAGAGCCCAAGTTTGGATAGGAATCGTTAGTGGCAGGGAACCCGCCAATTGGAACACATCGCTAAAGGGCCGCGCCGCCGACCTGCATTGGCGATGATGTTGTCGGTGATGATCCGATGCGACCCTCGGCCACCATCTCGCTCTTTTTCTCTCTTCAAACCGTACATTGGCCTCCATGAGGAACAATGTAAGTCATGGATAATTTCGTTGGCACAAAGATCTCATAACCTGCATTCGTTTAGAAGTTTTGAGACTCTTCAAAGGCTCTTGGTCTCATTCGGTAGTTGACTGGAGATAGGCCAACCAACCCAAGGAACGAATGATTTAACCTCACCCGCGCGGTACAAGCTCTTCAGCCCAGAAAATTCGTTCTCGTGTACAAAGTGTCATTGGGCGATTACCTAGACCTGCCAACCGCCCTGCCCATCAGCCCATGGAGTGGAGGGGGGATGTTCCCCTCCCGATAGCCGGAGATGGCCATGCAATTGGGGTAGAACGGAAAGGGCACTCCTTGAAGCTTTTATGCTTATGAGCTGTGCTTGCGCACAACCCACCTCAAGGGTCCGCCGCCCGCTGTCGGGTGGTCCACTGTCCAGTCGGCGCAGGACAGAGCTATCGAAAGCATCAGCGTCGCAAGCCGAGACCCATGACAGCAAACACACTGTACCACCCCCCGTCCGCCATGCGACGGTTGTCAAGGTGTTCACCTGGGAAAAAAGCCTGGCAAAAACCCAGAATAGAGGTTGGCAGCGCCGTAGCTCCCTTGCGCTGTAACCCTGACCCCGTCTCTGTTGGCAGCCTCTGCTGACCGACCAACAGCGCAAATTACGGTGTCACCGTCAACGTCCGCTGTTAATGGTATTGAGACTGGCTCAGGCCTTCAAGTTATCGAGAGACACTATCAGGACGGAGACGATTGACCAAAATGTCTGTGCCTAAACACACCAAGAGTGCTCGTCAACCTGGTCGGCGCCATTCCCGAGCCGGAGGCTGGCTATCAGCAACGGATACAGCATAGGCTCCCACTCTTCCCAACGGCCAAACGGCGCCAGGAACGCGCCGCTCGATCTCATCGGCGCTGGCCGTTGGGACAAGGTAAATTCAACTTCCCTCTTTGCCTACTATCACCGCCAATCCTCCTCTATTATCAACAGATAGTCAGATACCAAGCCGGCACACCTCGAGTCATCGGCTGGGCCCTCCAACGACAACTACTCCTACGCAGTAGAGAGCGAGAAGCGGCGAGAGCCAAAAAGCTAATTTACAAGGGGAATCCCCCCATACGAGCAAGCCCGCTTCACCGAAAGAGGCAGCTGGAGCAACTGGGGGGCGTGCCCAGAAGCGTGGGTGGAGGTTGGTTCGTTGGTCTCGCGCCGGCTGGGGCCTTTTGCTGGACTAAGCTTCCCAATTTCCACCGTTCCCGAGTCTTTCTTCTCTTTTTTCTTTCGAGCTTTTTAAGCATCATTATCTTTCCTTACTTTGCAAGGAAGGCCGTTGATGTTGTTTTGATTGACCTTCCTTCTGGAGTGGCACGTGGCGACGGCGTGGAAGTCTCCTTCAAGAACTTTTACATTGATTCACACCTGCTTAGCCGATGACTTGAGTTCGAACAGTCCAGGATTGAGTATTTAGGCTCTCATCCTCCTCTCCAGTCGCCACTCGATCTTCTCTCTCCCCTGGCCCAACTCCATCAATAAGGCTAGTCCCCATCGGCGCATCATTCCCGTTTACAGCCTAAGGTCAAGTAAGAAGCCCACCCGTCCCATCTCCGGCCCGCCGAGCTGCGAAAAATTCAGAGACAAAGAGTCGCAGAGATGGGAAAGCTGTAGCCAACTTTTCCAGTCGTTCAGGGCACATGTACACCTCCCAGCCGCTGAACCAGGCTCTAATAGCACGTGTAGACCATGGTATGTGACAAACCTCCGCCAGCCCAGGAAGCGAGGTGGGCTCCTCTCGGTGAATGGAATAGTCCAGCACCTTGGCGGACACAAGCACGTTGTCGCTATCGCAAAGCTCACTGCTCTGTTCACCGTTGGCCGCCATTACCCCTGCTCCTCCCATCCCCCAGGTTTAAATCCTACGAAAGATACGCGTGTGTCTTGGGAGATTGCTTGAGACACCTTCCTAGTCTTAATTATGCTCTAGCTTGCGCTCCTCCAGATGTCAAAACTCTGAACACCTGTTGGCTCCTCGGGACTGCACGTACAAACAGTGAAAATTCTCTACCCTCAAGTCGAGATACACAAGGCCATGGGCAACGCCTTATGGTTGAGCAACGCTACGGGCCAAGTTGAAGTGTTCTCCTTTGACTTAGAAGTCTTAATCAATACCTGGAAACTCAGTTCAGGAGACATGAGTCCAGGTAGCCAACCCATCAATACCGACACCGGCCTCGAGTTCATCTGCCTTGCACAAGGGTCAAGTGCATCCAACAAGAAACACGCCGTTCCTCCTAGTAAACAAGCTCACTTTATCCGGCCGTGATCTTCATCCCCCATCTCTTCCAAGTTTTCCTTCCTTCCCCTCGCAAGCTTCCCCAGGATATTTCTTCGGACATCAAATCTCCGCGAAGCAAAATCGTGCCCTCTCTTGCCATCCCCAGCTTCTTTTCCCCGCCCATCACCGCTGTTCCCCCAGCCCTCGAACCACAAAGCATGCACCTCCCCCGCACCGTCTCTCCTCAGTGACAGGTATCTACCCATCTTGCTATCCCCGGTGCGGACTAACGCCCCGTCTGAGCAACGTGCGTCTTCCTCCAAGGATTGATCAAGGCCGCATCTGATTGACGGAGGAGTCTGTCCCGAGGTCTAGTCTCCTTCTTGGCCTCTTGCTTCGACTCCAAATCCACGGTCCGCGGAAGAAATTATGTATCCATAGATTCTTGTTCAACGAAGTTGTTGGGGCTCCGTTCGAGATCCCGAGGAGCCGACATGCTGTCACCCACAGGAGAGCCGCCTCCCCATATTCACCTCCTCCCCCCTACCCTCCGCATGCCAGACCCAGAAGCGACTCTCAAGCGAGTTTGTCGTTGTCCCGACAAGCAGGATGATGGGGTACCATCTCATCAGATATGATCGACAGCATGTATAGTGGGAGGGAACCATGTATTGTCAGGCAAGCCTCGCGTTCGGTTCGGCCCAAGCTGTCTACCTACTCATTGGGAAATGTAACTTCTCTCCCCTCTTCCGACGAGCCTCCGGTCTCGCTATGATGCTACCCCGAAGGAGATCGGTTTTGACGACTATGGTCCGTATGAGATTCTCATAACCCCGCAGATAAAGTCGGGGCCGCGGGTCCTCCATATCAGTCTAATATCACGTCGTTGTTCTTCACCTTTTACGGTGATGCTGTTCAGGCATCAGAGGCACAGGCGCTCGCATTGATGATACCGTAGACGGCCAATGCCCCGTCTGGTCTACTCCTAGCTTCCTACTCTGAAGAATCAAGGCAAAGGCAAAAGCGAAAGCAAAAGCAAGACATGATGACATAGCCTATCGTTGAAGAAATGAACCGAACCTCTGCAGCTCATACCGACATCGCAAACTCTTGCCTCACCGCTCGTCGATGGGTTCACTTCCGCATCCAGAACGTGTGAAAAGCGAGACATCCGGAGCATTCAGTGCGGGTTTGCAAAGGAAGAAAAAAAAAAGGTATCATGTATTGTGACTTGGGATAAACAAGACCAAACACTTTGCGCCAGAGTAAGCCCGCCCTTGCCGCAATTTTCCGCGGTGAGGTGCTCACCAGTCGGCATCAGAGTCCCTTGCCGTTAGAAACGCCATCCGCTCTCTATATCGTATTTCTCAATCCTGAGCGGTCAACGACCATCCTCATCTCCCTCGTGCCGCGTCCACCGGGAGGACTTCCTGTTCCCAACCGTCCGTGACTGAAAATCAACCACTTCTATCCCCACAGAAGTGTGAGGGGCTGCCTTTCCTAGTGATTAAGATGCCTCTTCGCTAATGCCCATGGAGGCCCATTAGGTCAGCCAGGACAACATAACTACATAATGATTGTCCGGACCGACAGAAAGATCAAGGATCCAAAGAAGAGATGCAAGCTTCCACGGCCTTGCAGCGTCAGAAAGCATCGTCTGGTGTCTGGCTTCCAACTCCAAATCTTGCGTTAGCTCGAAAGCCATGCTGTGACTGACTCCGTAGTCTTGCGACGGCATGTGGTCGAAGCGAAGCATAGTCATAGGAAAGCTATGCACTGAACGCAGCTTTACTTCCCATTCGACGTCTGACCATTCGCTCGATCCGTCGGGCCATAGTGGCCGATGAGCTCTGAAGCCTCATTCACAACACTGAGCCCAGCTGGAGCAGAGCTGTCACTCCTCGTTCTGCCGTGGCCTCCTTCACTGCTCCTTCGCCGCTGATGGACCGCAGGCGGCCGGCTCATGCCCGATAGCCCGCTCCCTGACCGGCGACGCGTATCTGCCACGGCGTCTGGGACGGGAGAAGCGGCCAACTCCGGCACATATGGCGTCGAGTCGAGTTCTTGGAGTGGCGTCCGAGTACCCGCACTGCCGTGGTCGCTGCTTGCTTCGCTGGCGTTGCTCCAATGGCGAAGATGCGCGTAGGTTCCTTGTGAATCCGTGCTTCCGCGATGGAGTCCGACCCACGCGCTCGATCCCTGGCTTGCGCGCTGACTCCTGTCTGGCGCCACGTCGAAGTAGCCTCCTGTATATGCTGAGTCGTAGCTAGCGTGTCGATCGGACCCTGACCCTTGCGGTACTGCCTGATAGTCACCACCGGACCCCGGCGTGCCGCGATATGGAGGTGTGAAGTCGGCAGTCGTATCGGAATCATATCTGCGGTGTGATGGCCGAGGAGACATCATGAGCGGGTCTATGCTCAAATCATCAACCTCTGATGGTGTTGGCTTGAACTCATACATCGAAGGGCGTGACTTAGCCCCTGAAGAGGTCCCCTTGTTGCTCGTCTCGACTGCCTGGACAACCTTGTTGAGGTGCCGAATGATGATCCACGCAGTCACCAGCACAATGATGAGCAGGCCAACTCCTCCAGCCACGATACCCGCGATTTGCCCCGAAGTCAATCCATCACTGTTGCCATCGCCGCTCGAGATAGGTTGCTCTTTTGGAACAGTGCTCGGATAGTACTTGAACACAACTTGGTCCGGGTCGCTCGCCCCTGTTGCTACTATTGGCGCCGTGGTAGGTCTTGAGGGAGTTAGAACAGCAGTTGCGGTTACAGTCGTGGTTATCGCCTGCGCGGCGTCATTCGTCGTTGTAATCGTCGTCGTCTCCGTGACAGTTGAGGGCTCCGTCGAGTAGCAAGCGCTTACGGCGCAGCCCAGTCCGTCTCGACAGCAGCCGTAGCTCAAGCTAGCTGGGCATAAGTAGTAACTCGCCGGACACGACTGAGAGTATATGACTCCAGACGCTGGAACGCAATTTGAGCCTCTTTGACACTGATATCCTTCTGGGCAACAGCCGCCTGGGCAAAGTGTGTCAGCTCACGATTCCAAGACAGGTACTGGGAACCAAATCAACTCACCTCCCAAAACCGTGTTACATTGGTAATATCCAGGTTTTCCTGCGCAAGTCTGCGCTGCACTTGTGGTCGCATAGCAAGAATCCGTCGCGCATGCATAGCCTGAAGCGCAACACCCTCCATCCAAGCTTGACGGGCAAGCAGAGTATCCGGTCGCACAAGTTGTTGTGCCCCTTCGATTGAGGTCGTGAAAGACCGTGACGTGTGCCTTCTCAAGGCGGTGCACCCCATCTCGTCTCTTGAATTCCGCCCCCTCGACTGCCCTGACCAGTAAGTCAACCCCCAAGTACAGCACGCAAAGCGAGCAAGCTGTCGCCCTCATGGTGGTGGCGGTGATCGAATGAATAAGCACAATAGTTGAGCAGTGTAACTGGATTACGGGATTCGCCAATCATCTAAGATCCTTCGGATCAGCGAGCGTTTTGTCGAGAGTCTTGAGCGTGGTTAATCGAACGAAGGACAGCGCAAGGTTCTTGAGAGATCGGCGGCGGTGTAAGGAGTGTTTGGAAGATCTTTCGACTCGAGTAATTTGAAGAGCTGGCCAGGTCGTCTGTGAAGAGGGTAAGTTATGCTGGTGCCTTGAGGCGTGAGGAGGATCGAGATGACCCAACCGCAGGTGTGTCTCCGGGGGGCTGAGCGGGTGTGTACAGCACAGCACCGAACCACAAGCAGTCACACCCCACGATATAATAATCGGCGATCGGGGGCACAGCAGTAGGGCTGAGGGACGACGAAGACGGAGAAGTGATTGAATAAAGCGCGTGTCGTTCACTTGAAACCCCGTCGGCCGTATAGCTCGCGCTGGCAGCGTCAAGTTGAACTCGATACCGCGCGTGCGTGTCTGTCTTCTTTTCGCTAGGTATGATCGACCCGACAGCGGGTGGATGCAGATGAAGATGGAAGAGAAGAGGGCGATCATGGACTGTTTGGGAGGGGAATGGACGGATTCCTAGACTGCGGGCATGTGTGACGGGAGGGCCTTGGCTCGCAGCTGGCTCCACGGGGGTATCTCTGGGATGATGGGATTTCTAAAGTGGCTTTTTTGTCAGAGTGTCAGCACTCTGGATAACGGGCTTGCCCATAATAGGAGAAACGAGGGGTGATATTCTCCCAATGGGAAGTGCGTAAAGTGCAGTCCCAGCCTCTGGTAAGCCACGATAGCACCATGGAGGAAGACCAAGGTGGAGGGGTATTTGAGAAATGGCACTTTGTCTGGTTGCTCTCGATCACCGCCACTGCTGCGAGTATGCTGGGCGCGACTGGTCTCAGACTCGGGGAGCGAATAGAAACGAAGCAGCTGACGACCTGGTCGGACATTGTATGCGGTGATGCGGCACGACAATGCCTGTCTTACCGTCCAGAGTGGGCATCGTGTGGTGAGAATGTCGAAGGCCACCAATAAGATGAAGGCGTGAGCTGCAAGTCAACGACAAGCAGCCAACAGGAGTGGCAGCTCGAAGGAAAACAGGCTGGGAAGCAAGCATGCAGAGCGGCGGCTCGTCGCTGGAAGAGCCCGGGATGTAGATGCGAGTGGGCAGCTTGTTGGCGATGCGCATATCTGGGATTGCTGTCTGCAATGTTTTCCGTCCTTGGTCGTCTTCGGGGGCTGTCTCCAAGAGAATGCGACACTGAACCAACACCAGCGCTTCCATAGCCAACGACAAACAGCATCTGACGATGGTTTTTACGTCCGCAGCGACGCGCATTCATACAGCTGCTTCTCTCCTGCGGCCCAGACTTCTCGAGACGGCATATGCAGACATCCCACAATATCTATTTGTGAAGATAAGATGTCCAGTGAGGCTAATCATCACTCGATGAAACCCACATGTCGTCGAAGCCCTGGCTAGACATGGCCTACACAATGGCCTTCATGGGCGGGCCAGCGTCTTTGAAGGAGCTAGTCAATATCCGAGCCACAAGGATGGCTGCATATCCCAGGAAACAGAAGCAAGACATCGATTTGGGGCCCCATGTTGATGCTTGCAGATTCCCCGTGTCTCACGAAACAACGGCACCCCGTGCGTCAACCGGGCCTACGAAGCAAGGCCAAGGCTGTGAGCGAGTCTGGTGAAGAAGACCTTCCATTGTAAACTTGCACTCAAGTCGAAATTCTTTGATACACTCTTGTCTCGACTCTTGAAGGGCGAGCTGCGATCTCTCATGGCAAAGTGGCGGATGAAGTCGACGTTGTTTGGCACGGACCTCGCGTCTGGATGATGCAGAGTATGGGATGAAAAAAGAAAGTTGCAAACAAGCGAACCATCCACTCGGATCTAGTTTGGTCATCAGATGAAAACTTGAGAATTGAGAGGTGTGCTGTTGTTCGACCAGAAGCCTACCGAGTATTCAGAATGAAACCTAAGCGGACTCGCCAACTACCTGACGGCTTAAATCTAATGGCAGGAAGACTATCTGTATCTGGCTCGAGGAAACACTATGAAAACCGAGGCGGCGGACGAATGCCTGATGCTCGGTGAGCTTCTCTGAGCTATCGATGAAACTGAGAGACACTGAGATTCGGAATGGTGTTTTGTTTGCTCCTCGCGGCAACAAGATGCAGAAGGCAAGCTGCTTGGCTTGAGTTCTTCCAAGAAGGCACGCGCCCGACGGTAGAGTCTTGGTGCCGGAAGAGGTACGTACTTGTCGACTATTTATAAGTCACCTCAGGCACAACGGCATGGCAGCGGCACCGGTGGAGAATGGAAGGAAAGAGGGAAAGCCCATGATTGCCAATCCCATGGACTACGGAGTATTGCCAGTGACCCAAGTCCCAACGGCAGGAATATAAACTGCGTGCCTGCCTGCACTGGAGGTAGAAGGGGGAGAAGATCGGCGTGATCACCGATGGAAACGAGCGAGGAAGGCGTGGACACGGCGTGGGAGCGGCAGGCACACAGCAAAAGGTGTAACTTAACCGACTGTACTTTCCTCGATCTGGATAGTCTTTTGCCTGAGGCACACAGAGTGAGGTACGAAGTACCGATGAATGGACACCTAAAGAGCGGAAAGAGCAGACACGCCGCAAAAATGCAGGTGCGGACTTCCCGTCCACGTGTGCTTCCCGTTTCCCGTGTCCTGCCCGTAGGTATCCAAAGGATTGCTCGCACTTTCCTCAAAGTTTGATCTTCGTACACCTGCAGTGTCCATTGGTTCGTTGGTGTGTTGGTGGGAGGCAGCAAGAGCAGGAGCGAGTATGGGGCAACCGTGCCGTGCTTGCCTCCCATCACCAGTCTTCACGGTTCACCAGACTTCCATGCAGCCTTAGGCAGGACATGGTTGGATTCCCAGGACCTGCGGAATTGTAGATACTCTCGTCCTTGGGCAAGACAAATCTAGGAATAACACTTCTCCTTCCCTTACCTAACAAGGACCAAGTTCCAGCCCTTGGCGAGGAACGACGACTCCACAGCAATATCGACGGAAGAATGGCGAAAAAGAGGGCAGAACTTTTGCTCTTTGCGTAGTCCCAGCCCCCACTGCGATTGGACAGCGGGAGGGAAACACTGTCGGCGGGAACCTCTCCTTGTCAGTGGGCTCGCGGAGTCGAATCGTCCGCCTGAGGTGGGCTCTGGTCCCTTGAAGTTCCTTTATGACCCGCCGCCCAGTCCTCGTCTCCATTCACGCTGGATGCTCCCGCCGGTTGCCCGCAGCCCGACACTTCCTTCAAGAGTCCCCAGAATATCGACAGGACGCTCCGCTGATCAACCGCTACAAGTTCTACTTTGGGAGACCTTCCCCGGATTCGTCTCATCTTTTGTCTTCGCTTCTGTCTTCGCTTCTGACTTTCATCAGAAAGACAAGCCAAACTTTGCCCTGTGGTTGGTCTGTACCTCAGTGCCGTCAGTACCTGGCAGGGCATGGGCAATGGCAACTATTTACGAATCCACGGGGGTCTCTAAGAATGCGATACATTAGGTGCCAGCTTTCCCCAATTCGCAGCCACCCAAGCAGCTCAAAGTACATGCTACTACCGTTCCTCTTGAGACTTACCTTGCAATCTACAAGGTACATCTTTCTACAGCCCAAGTACGAGCCTCGACTTCGTGTTCTGTCCAGCTGAGGCAGACAAAACACCCAGAAAGATCGCCTTGACCGCTCAAGTCGCTCCCCTCACCGACAACCCCCTCATCCTGCCACTAACAAGCGTCGCAACCCGCACCCAGGATCCCGTCAGCCCGCCTCTCCTCCGTCACCTACCGCCTGGCACCAATCTCATCCTGCGCCATGTGGTAGCATCGGAGACACGAGGTCCATCTAGGACTCTGGGTCTTACCCAACTGGAAAGGGGCTGGAAGCCATCGAGAACATCGTCACAACCACCTAGTCTGTGTCATCTCCAGACTCCAGGCACGCTACCCCATGGCTTGGACGGATCAACGGTGGTTGAGGGCTCGGAGAATGCGGGGAAGAAAACCTTCTTCATCACTTGGCGGCCTGCCTCTAGGATCATGGGTGTGTGTGTGTGTGTGTGTGGTTGTGTCTGCGTCTCAACCACAGCTAACCTCCCGAGCTAACATGGCGCTTGAGTCGTGTCGTCACAAGCGTGTGCCTGGTCGAATGCTTGCGTTCAGTGAGAAAGAGGCAAAAAGGAGTAGGGCCATCGAGGACACATACAGAGCTTGGCACCCACGCATCCACGCACCCTCAGATCGTCCACCTGCATTCAGACCAACTGCCCTCGCTGATTGCCGTCAGGCGCTCGACATCCTAACAAATGGCAATACTCGACAATGTCACAGTCCAAGTCCGACTAACAGGCTGCCAGCCAGTTCATGACCCCTTGCTACACAATAATTACGGCCCGCGGGAAATGAATCAAGCAGTGGCCATCTCGGTTCCGCTGGTAGACTGAAGGACGACACCGCGCGGCGGCGTGGCTCGATTGGTGGATAGGCCAACAAAGTCAAGTGACTCAATGCATTCTTTTCCAACCCAATTAATCAACGCAACCGCAGCCCTGGCGACACTACGGAGACAACCAGTCGTGCCAGTCGTGCCAGTCTCCAATTACAGCACTGCCTTAGGCGGAGCTCAAGTCTGGCTGCCTGGCAAAGAATCAGAGTTCCGAGCCGTCTGAACGACTACGCCATTTAAACTTTGCCGGTTGCTGCAGGGTCCAAATCACAGGTACCGATGGTATTCGTCCACTGACAATCGAAGTTTGTGAGACCTGCAAGGGAGATGCGAACATCACCAGGCCTCAGGCAATAGTGGCAATGCAGATGGGCGACCATTTCGCATCAACAAGGAGGAATGACGTTTCTGGCTCGCTACCGGAAGGAATGCGGCAGAAGCCTGCAGAGCCGTTCACGAGCCGGAACAGTTGTGGTAGGTTCAGCGACTAGCCGGAGCTTAGAAGCAGCAGAAGCGTCTCCTTAGCTTCGTTTCTAGCTGGGATGACCGTATACGAACTTTGCAAAGAACGCTATTCCGCGCCACCTTCTCATTCTGTTCTATTTCTGCCCTATTCGGCTTGCGGTGGTTGACAAAGCACGCGCTTCTGGCAGCTGGCATCGGACATTGACACAATGGCAATCAAGTCCCGGGGGCGCGGCATGACAGCTAGGTATGGCAGATGCCTTGCAGCAACAGGCCAGTCACCATGACGAAGTACCGGACGGAACATTTCATGAGCTGCGTCGGTTCCCTGAGTTCACAAGACCATGGAGAAGCAGAACTCGAAGAGGGAAATCGGCAGCATTAGGGTCGACCCGAATCGTCACGGCACAAGATTGCACCTCGTCGTGTTCTGGCTGAGCTCGAGAGAGTGTACATGGACGCTACGAGACAGCGCCTCCCGAAGGCTCCCCTGTTCAGATGCCATCCCTCAAGAACACACACATTAACAAATAATTACCAACCAGCATCTACCCTGTCATGGGGCAGCCCCCCTTTACTCCAACATCCAGACAGGTCGCCGTACCTACATTGCTGTAATCCCATAGCTCTTCAGGCGTTGCTCTCGCTCACACCTCGCAGGGAAACCCTTCCTCACGGCTACCAGTGACCACACACACACACACACACATACCCAGATAGAAAGAGAATCACCTTTACATCTGCCACCAACGGGGAACAAGCACAGACACCGGTGCACCACCATCGAGACTGGACTGGAGCCAACGGGCTGCAGACATGTCGACTGAGATTGTGACACCCATCTCCGCACCAAGAATCGCCGCTGTAACCCCGCAAATTTCTCCACCTTTCTGCTTCTAGCACATCTTAGTCTCCCAGGATCTCTTGGTCACGATGTGCGTGATGGCAGCGGTCTTGTCAGCATTGGGAAGGACGCCGCCATCGCCGGCTCTTGGGCTGCGGGCCTTGGGTACTCGCTCGGTACGCCAGCGCGACTTGGGATTCGACATTGACCTTGGTCCATTTTGGTGGCTTTTGGGGATGGGCAGGCTTTGTTGGAGAAAAAATCGCCAAAACGCCTGGCTGAACGAGCCTCTTTGCCCATTTGCCTCTTGAAGGTTCTCGCCGTCTCGGATTCTGCCTCCTTTCTTTCAGTGGTATTTGAGCTGGCTCGCACCCGACATCTCACTTGACTCGCACGTGTGCTCCTTCGACTCTTCTTCTCCCCTTTCTCCGCCCTCTCCAAGTTCCCCATATCTCGCCGTTCTGCTACAGTCTCCAGAGGCACCGTCTCCATTCCCCATCCCCCACGCCCTAAGAGAACGGACCAACAATACGCATTCGT